TCCGATATCAACGATGAAAAAGATTTGGATCAACCAAATCCGGAAGATTGATCGAGTTCGTGTTGAATCGCTCATCTATGACGGAGATTGATCGAGTTCTTGATTCATTCTACTACTGTAAGTTCCATATTCTTATCAATCGCTACCTGTTAGGGTTCTAATCCTCTTTCATTTTTCTCTCCTGATTTCAATTTTGTTGTTTCGGATCTGGGTTTCGCCGATGAAAGCAACTAGAACTTCCTCCGATCGTTAAATAATCATCACTGTCGTGGTTTTTCGATCGATTTCGTCCCTCTGTAAGCAGGTATCACGATTCTTCCTTCTCGGATTTGAGTTTTTTTTTTTGTGAGGTTTCGTTTGTTTTTAGGGTTCAATTGAGAAATCGGTAAACAAATTCGGTGTTATTGCTCGTTTCCTCTGCTTCTTATGGGAATAGTTTCGTATAATTAGATATTGTAGATTTGGATCAGTGCTTCGTAAGCTTAATTTCGTTTTGGAGGATCCAGTTTATGCGTTTTGGGTTAAATCTTTGTGTGATGGAATTTAGAATATGTGGAAAATGTAGGCATCAATGTCATGTTTGTGATTCTTGTATGGATGTTTCTTCACAGCTTTTCAATCATTTGTTTTTTTTCGGGTAGGTTTTTGCAGAAAAAGAAAGCATAACATTGGCTATTGCAACCTTTGACAGAAAGCAATCTGCATCTGTTTGTATTAATCTCCATATGGATCTCTTGCAAAGTTGGGTTTACTTTCTTACTTCTGTTCTGTGTGTTTTGTTTCTCTTCTATGTACCTGGAATGCGATTGTTGTTTCTGTAGATGCATTGTTCACGAGGTTTATCAGTTCATAGTCTGAAGTCTTTGGGTGATAAGGTGATTATAGAGCAACTCTTCACGGTTAGAGATTTTTCTGAAGGTAAGCATTGTACACTTGAGGACATTCTCTACGCTATAGAAAGCTCATTCGAACTTATTGTACATGAGAAGCAGGTTTTGAAATTTGCGATTGACACTCTAAATATAGCTTATACACTGCTTGAAGACCTTTTTATTCAGTTCAAGTAAGTTGTTTCATCTTTAGCAAGTTATTGGCTTCTTAAAGCTCCTGCTTAAAACCAAAATGTTGTCTGTGTTCTGATCATCTAACGCCTAAACCATTATCTTCTTCTAACAGAGAAGTTGCAAAAGTTGGTGAACTGTTGAACTTTGAAGCATGTATGGACATGATTGATCTTCTTTACGAGAAGGAGGAAATCTGTGTACTTCTATGAAATAAACACCAAAATGAAAATAAATTGTATTCTTCTCTTGAACCACACGTCTCTTCTTACATATGTAATGTATATTTAAAATTTAAAAATATAAATTTTTTATTCTTAAGAACCTTACCAATGGAGGGGAACAAAACTAAAAAATCTTTATGGGGTTGTTAATGCAAAATTTATATTAAAATATTGTTAAGAACCCCAAAAGGGGTTATAAATGGACATGCTCTTATATTGTTTATTATCTTTGATTCTTTAGCATTTTTAGCTATGGATTGTCACGTGCGCTCTAACTCCTAAATCTATGTCTATATGAAGATATATTATTACGTACATACAAATGTATGATGCACCTATATTTGTAAATTATACACGTATAGATTCAAATGCCCAAGTTTTCCGAAATCTACATTACATAATCTAAATACATTGTGCATTATTAATATTACCCCCCGTTTAAAATTGTATGTTTTGAATACATATAAATTGCATATACAATTTTTTACCATATTATTTTAATCTAGAATTTGTACAAAAACATATGAATTATGAATAGGTTGAGGTAAACTTGGTTTTTAAAAAGTTGTCGCAATGGCTAGGGAAGCAAAGGGTATGGTAATGTATTGAACTATCGATTACAAAACAAATGATGCTAATCAACTGGGTCTATATTGGACCAAAATTTCTATATGGGACGCACTATCATTTTTTTTTGTGCAACATTTTGTTTTCATTCACTTAAAACTTTTGGGTTTCAACATTTCATAGCACAATACATAACAACATTAAAGACTAAAACATTAAAGACTAAAACATGAGGATAAACATAGTTATACGACAGCGAATCAAAAACAATTTCTTGATGCGTCGGTATAAGGATTACGGTAAAGCCGAAAATCATAGATTTGGTCACTTTGAATAGTGACGTTGAAAAACTATCTTTACCTCCGGATTTCGTCAAGACAAACCCGGTTGCATCTTCTAGTCGCGTACATACCGCTACACAAGAATACAAAATGGTTAAGGAGTTGCTCGGTTTTGGTTCCGAGAAAAATCTTACTCTCAAAGAGAGAAGACAACATGGACGGTTTCTCTCCCAATGGGAGGAAGTTACAGGATTTGAGAATCCAGAAAACTTTGATCTTTTCTCAATAGAAAAGATATCGAACTCATAATATACATGATTTGAGAATCTAGAAAACTTTGATGTCAAAATACAAGGATCAAAATATATCCATGGTGAAGCCAACTTTGTTAAACACACAGTAATAATCAGCACGTGACTTGGGTGTGAAGTGCTTGGAAAATGATCTTGCTAGGCTAAGAGGCCCAACACTCAACATGGGCCAAGCCCAAATTTTATACTTCTCATTTTCACTGTGTGGGGGAATCGACGGCGAGACAAAGAGACATGTGGTCCATGACCGGTGGTGGCAACAATTTCGTGAGAGGCTTCCGGCTGGTTCTACTCGCTGCGGAGATTTCTCCAGATGGTCGGTGATCGCCTGATTTTGCTTCAAAGAAGAGTCCCCGTTGAGAGCTCCTCCGCATATCGAAGGGAGACTCTTAGCACCTAACTCATCGACCAAGCCGTTGATGGAGGCCGCTGGACCAGTGGGATGGAGATTGACAGAGATCGACAGAGGGTGTTGAAGGAGACATCTCGAAGCGAGTCCAGATCTGGTGTCGTATAGCTTTGGAGGGGTGAGTACTGAGGGCAAGCGAGGCGGATTAGAGAACATTATATGTAATGGAGATGTCTCTGGTCTATCCGGTGGAGGGTCTGAATCAGGCGATTCAGGTGGATGTGAAATCTCACACGTTTTTGGAGGACAGGATCTGGTGGCTCCGACAAAGGAGGGGGGATGACGAAGACCTAAGTAGCCGTGTAGTCTCGATCTCAAACGCCATAGAAGAAGGATGAAGCACGTAAGGGATCTCGTCGGTGTAGGGCTCCACCAACGGAAAACAATTCATCGAAAGATTTTGGAATGTCCCGAGAGTGTTGCAGTGTCGCACCGTTCAGAGAGAAACCATGCCGGAACAGTCACACTGACGGCGAATGTTCACGACAAGAAAACACGGTTTTAGCGTCGGCACAATTCGATGCTAAATCGACGCTAAAAGCATTTAGCGTCGTTTTGCGTCGAATTACATTTCGGCTAAAGGCGTTTAGCGTCATTTTAGCGTCGACATTGGACGTATTCGATGCTAATTCGATGGTATATAGCGTCGATTTAGCATCGAATTCTATGAATTTAAAAAAAAAAAATTCTAAATGAAAATATTGTTAATAAATCCGATTTTTTTTTTAAATTAGAAAATTTTATATATAAATCCGAAATGAAAACATAAATTGTTTAAAAACACTGAAAATACAAACAGAAATTTTAATGTTCGTCCCATAGATTAATGTCGTCTCTATATTCATTAATCATAGCTTCGGCTTCTTCGTCAAACTGCATTTGACCGCTAGGTGGAGGTGGCTGTGTAGGACGCGGTACCCGGTTGAGGGCAGCAGCTAAAACTGGGTTATCCACTGCAATAATATCCATCAGACTTGTCAATGCCGTGAGTTGGTCTTGCATCGAACTGTTGGTTGACCGGAGATCCGCTTGTTCCGTTTTTAGCCGCTCAATCTTAGCATTAGCAGCGGTCAACTACGTTGCCAACTGCGGGTCAGAAGAACTCGGAGTGTAACTATACCGAGCGGT